GGAACCAGGTCAGAGTTATATTGAATTTGAAATAATTAAAGTTAACAACTTCGATAGATGGGTGACAGCATTAAAGATGGAAAAGACATGTGAGGATCTTAGAGAGATTGTTCTGCTGGAGGAGTTTAAAAACTCGCTTCCATAGATGATAAAAACTCATATTGAGGAACAGAAAGTTACCAAAGTAAGAGGATCTGCCAGAGATAGGGGATGAATATGCATAAGTCCACAAATCGAAATTTAGCTTCTGCCAGCAATTTCATTCCGTGAGGGATAGAAATGGATAAAAGGGAGATGCTTCAATGAGAAACAAAAAATAGATCACACTGGGAGCAGTTTACCACAGGTGAAAAAAAAATCCAAAAGGGTAAAAAGGAGGCAAGAGGCCTCAGATGTTTTCACTGTAATAAGTTGGGACATGCAAAGTCACAGTGCTGGTGGTTTAAGAAAGGCATTTGGAAAAAGGATGTGGCAAAAGAGGCTAAACCAGTGGGATTAGTTGAGGTAGTGATGGAAATCCCAAGAGAAGTCGAGGAGCTGCACAGCCTAGTTACGGGCTGGATAGTGAGATGGTAGTCCAATCTCTACAAAGAGGTAAGGTTTACTCAGTAAGAACAGGGGGTTAAGTTAAAGAAGTTACATTAATGAGAGATACGGGAGCTGTCAGTCTCTAATAGTAAGAGGTGAAAGTATTTGCACTCCTTCTGAAATGTTACCCGAGACAGCGGAATAGATGGACAGGGATTTAGCATTCCCCTGTGTAAGATCAGCTTGGAAAATCCAATCAAGACTGGGGAAGTGAAAGTGGGAGTGATTGAAGGACTATCAATTCCAGGAATACAGTTTGTTCTCGGAAATGACCGAGCAGAAACAAAAGTGGGAGTGACACCCCTTGCAGTAGAGAAACCGAAGGAAAACCAGGGAACTAAAGAAAAATACCCTGGAATTTTTCCGGATTGTGTGGTGACAAGATCTCACAGTCAAAGGATAAAGCAAGAAGGGAAAACTAAAGAGAAAGCTGAAGGAGTTTAGTTCCAGTTAGCTGTTTGACAAAATGGTCAAGGAAGAACCTAAACAGATACAGGATCAAGCAGAGGTGTTTAGTTTCTTTTCTTGCCTTTATTCATTCACGGGATGAGGACGTTGCTGGCTGGGCAGCATTTATTGTTCATCCCTAATTGCCCAGAGGGTAGTTCAGAGTCAACTACATTGCTGTGGGTCTGGAGTCACAGAGAATTTGGCAGTTCCCTTCCCTAAAGGACGTTAGTGAACCAGGTGGATTTTTCTGACATTCGACAATGGATTCATGGTCATCATTGGATTCTTAATTCCAGATATTTTTGAATTCAAATTCCACCATCTGCTGTGGTGGGATTCAAACCCGGGTCCCCAGAATGTTTTCTGGATTAACAGTCCAGTGATAATACCACTGGGCCATTGCCTCCCCTATAGACCTGAAAGATTACTGGAGTTACAACAACAAGATGAGACAATAAACGATCTACATCATAAAGTTTTCTCGGAAAAGAAATCAGAATGTACTCCTGATAGTTATTATCTCAAGGATCGAATCCTAAGGCGAAAATGGACCCCTCGGCAGGTTACTGCAGACAAGACATGGGCCAAGGTTCACCAGATTGTGTTGCTGGTACCACACAGGCAGGAAGCATTGTGGGTAGCACACAAATTACTGGTAGGAGGTCATTTAGGAGTGAGGAAGACTCAGGCTAAAATACAAAAGCATTTCTATTGGCCTGGATTACGTAAGGATGTGGCTGTATGTTGCTGTACCTGTCATATGTGTCAGATAGTAGGAAAGCCACAGGCTGTAATAAAACCAGCGCCTTTGATGCCAATTCTCACATTTGAAGAACCTTTTCACGCGGGTGATGATTGATTGTGTAGGTTCCCTCCCTATAACCAAAAGTGGGAACCAGTATTTGCTAACCATAAAGGATGCGTCTACCAGATTTCCAGAGGCAATTCCATTACGGAGTGTCAAGGCAAAAAGGTTGTGAAAGAGTTGGTTGCTTTCTTTACCCATTGTGGATTACCCAGGGAGATTCAGTCAGACCAAGGGTCTAATTTTACTGCCAAGCTATTTAAGGGGGTCATGGATAGTTTAGAAATTTTAAGCCAACTGCATACCGTCCTGAATCCCAGGGAGCATTGGAACGGTGGCATCAGACTATAAAACCCATGCTGAGGGCTTATTGCCAGGATTACCCAAATAGTTGGGACAAAGGTATCCCATTTATATTGTTTGCCATTAGAGATACCCCAAATGAATTGACTCAGTTTACTCTGCTTGAGTTGATATTCAGACATGAAATAAGAGGGCCTTTAAAATTAATTAAGGAAAAGTTGATAGGTCTGAATTCAGAGGTCTCAGAGTTGGATTATGTATCTGTGGTGAAAGAAAGATTAAACAGTCGCTGAATTAGCTCGGCAACATCTGAAGGCGGCACAGCATTTGGTGAAGCAAGAAGCAGATAAACATTCGAATTTTAGCTTTCTTGCCTGTGGGGATAAAGTATCGGTGCTGTTACCAGTGATAGGAGACTCCTCCAAAGAACATAGAACATAGCAAAGTATAGTGGTCCCGATCAGATTGAGAAGAAGTTGAGTCAGGTGAATTACCCAGTAAAGATGCTAGAAAGAAAGAAGCTTTATCGGGTATGTCATGTGAATATGTTGAAACCTTACTATGACAGGGATAGGGAACCAGAGAAAAAAGTAGTAGTTACTGCCCCTCAGATTGAGGAATCAGAATCCAAATCATTTGATTTTGATGTGCCTCGAAGTAAGTTAAATAAGGAGGAAGTTTTTAGGTAATATGATAGGATAGTGAACCAGCTGTCTCAGGAACAGAAGACTGAATTGAAAGGCTTGTTGACGCAATATGAGGGCATATGTGGGAATAGAATGGGGCGGACTAGTACTATAATGCATTAGGTTGAAGTAGGGAGTACTGTTCTAATAAAACAACACCCGTACAGGCTTAATCCTCGCAAAGCTGCACAGGTACAGAAGGAAGTGGAAGTGATGCTCCAAGAAGACATCATCGAGCTGAGTCAAAGTGAGTGGAGTTCGCCGATCCTGTTGGTTCCCAAACCCAATGGTACTCAATGGTTCTGTGTGGATTATCGGAAGGTCGACACCTTAACTAAATCGGACTCATATCCAATTCCAACGCTGGAGGACTGTATGGAAAATGTTGGACAAGCCACTTATATCATAGAGTTGGACTTACTCAGTGGTTACTGGCAAGTACCTTTGTCAGTGAAAGCAAAAGAAGTTTCTGCATTTGTAACACCAAATCGGCTGTTATCAATTCAAAGTAATGCCCTTTGGAATGAAGAATGCACCAGCCAGATTTCAAAGACTTGTGAACAGAGTTGTGATAGGATTTACTAATTTTGCCGTGTACATAGATGACTTAGTGATCTTTGGCCATGTGTGGAAAGATCACATGGTGCATTCGGCAGAGCACTTTGAAAGACTATGGAATGCAAAACTGGTTATAAACTTAGCAAAAACTGAATTCGCGAAGGCAGAAGTGATGTTCTTCGGACATAACATTGTACACGGAAGGACGAACCTGAGGAATGTGGAGAAGAAGGCCATCGAGGAATTTCCAAGACCATCCGCAAAAAAGAGATGCTCCGATTTTTGAGACTAAGCAGATTCTACTGGACGCTTGTACTAAATTTTGGTAGCATGGTGGCACTGCTGACAGATTAGCTAAAGAAGAAAACAAAATTTTGGTGGATAGAACAATGCCAGAAGGCATTTGAGAACTTAAAAGCCGTGTTAACCACCGTACCAGTTTTAGCCACATCAAATTTCTTGAAACCCTTTAAAGTTGCTATCGATGCCAGTGACGTAGGGGTTGGAGTTGTGTTGATGCAGGACGATGATGGTGGAATTGAAAGGCCAATTTGATTATTTTTCAGAGAAACTCAATATCCATCAGAGAAAATACTCCACCATTGAAAAAGAGTTTAGTACAGGCCTTACAATATTTTAATGTTTATGTTACAAACAATGTTTCAAAAATGGTTGTGCATACAGACTCCAATCCTTGCATTTTTGGAAAAATTCAAGGACAAAAATTTGAGACACTTTTGTTGGAGTCTTATGTTACAGGCTTTTAATTTACAAATTGTACATGCTGTGGGACGGACATATGTTAATGAAGATGCGTGATCACAGGTTTAAAAGAAAATGTGTCGATAAGACAGAACCAGTACAATCCAGTGTTTGTATATACATATGTAAAATTACTGGGAAGGTATAACTTTAGACTACTGAACTTTGTATCCCATGGCAATAGTGTTAAGATCTAAAAAAGAAATGGAGCCATCTTTTCATGACAATGATTCATTTTTTCCTTAAGGAAAGAGGTGTTGTGAAGTTGCAAACCATTTATGAACTGGAAAGTAGGCAATAAGAATTTGTCGGTAAAAATGACAGGAGGGAAAAGCAGTGCCGTGATCCCTTTAAAGGATTTGTGCTTTGTCTATGCATAAAGATTTTTAAAATGTAGGTCTGAGTAACCAGAGGGTGTAATTACAAAAAGTACTTGAAATGGACACTTTTGAAAAAGGCCTTACAGGTGGAAAGCTAAATCACCTAGAATCACTGTCATTGAGAATACACACACGCCCCCCGCCATCGCCCAGAATCACTGTCAATGAGAATACACACACCCCCTCCCCCAGAATCACTGTCATTGAGAATA